CAAAACAAAAACAAAAAAACAAAAAAAACAACACATGGGCTGGGAAGTTGTCTCAGTGGTAGAGCGCTTGCCTTGCATGCCAGAGGCCCTGGGTTCGATTCCTCAGCACCACATAAGCAAAAAGAAAAAAGCCGGGAGTGGCGCTGTGGCTCAAGTGGTAGAGCACTAGCCTTGAGCTGAAGAGCTGAGGGACAGCGCTCAGGCCCAGAGTTCAGGCCCCATGACCGGACCCCAAAAAAAAAAGTATATTAGTTTATAATATAAATAAATAAATATATACATATATGGCAAGCCAGAGGTCAGCCACTAAAAACTAAGCAAGTAGGCAAAAGATAAAATGAAACACTAAAAATTACTTGCTTTTTCCAAAAGGAAGAAGAAAAACAAACTATAAAATAAAGGAAAATTTAAAAAATAATAACAAGGAAGAAGCCTCAAATATAACCATATCAGTCATTATATTAAATGTAATGAGCTAAACATCTTTTTTTTTTGGTCAGTTGTGGGGCTTGAACTCGGCCTGGCTCTGTCTCTCAGCTTTTCAGCTCAAGGCAAGTGCTTTATCACTTGAGCCACAGCGCGACTTCCTGCTTTTTTTCTGCTTATGTGGTACTGAAGAATCGAACCCAGGGCCTCATGCGTGCAAGGCAAACACTCTACCACTGAGCCACCTTCCCAGCCCTGAATTAATTAATTAATTAATGAAAAGGAAGAGATTGTCACACTCATCTGAGAGAAAACAACAAAGGAAAAGCTGTGTAGTTGGAAAAGTTCAATAAGCTGATAAAGCCAAGTGAAATTAGTAAAAAAGATAACTGAAAGGTACAATTAGCAATACCAAAAATGACACAGAGAACAAACATATCTTCAGGCCCTACAGACAATAAGACATGTAATATGGTGATTATTTACATACTTCATGCCAAAAAGTTGATACCATAGACAAATGCCCTAAAAACACAATTTTCCAAAACCATGCAAGTAATAGTTGATTTCTTTAGTGATGTAAATAAAGAAGGCATTTAAACACTTACAGGAATGGGTAAATGCTTTGCTTTTCAGTGCTAGAAATTGCTCCAAAATGGTAAGAGGGTTCTGATGCTCTGCTTTTGTTTCCAGACAGTTGTTATCTCATATTTCTGGCAATATCACTTTTGCGTCTAGTCTTACAGCCTAGGGAACCAGTTGAGGTTTGGAGTAACAGTATTTTTGTTTTTTTCTGTTGTGACTAGCGGCCACCTCCCCTAGTTTTGCTTACTTCTTGATAAATAGCCTAACAGGAAATAGTAAGGAACTTACCTCTAGTTTTGTTCAGTTTTATTTAATATACTAGAAGCATTGTTTTTACTTTCACCTTTTTAAAGATCCATCTACAGAAGAATTTGTGCTGTGGCTATCAGAGTAAGAGTCCCAGGGACAGAAGCCTATCAACTTGGTATCATGCATCACCTTTCGCAGTGGTCCATGTTGTCTTCTGTACTTCTTGTTCCATGATATTCCTGTCTTTTTCAAGAGTTTTTGTCCCAGTTGATCAACAGATATTAGACTGCTCTTTTCCTTACAAAAGAAACCCAAAGTCTTAAGACATCCAAAATCAGCTGGGTACCAGTGACTCACACCTGTCATCCTAGCTACTCAGGAGGCTGAGATCTGAGATTGCAGTTGTTGTTGTTGTTGTTTTGTTTTTTGGTTTTTTTTGGGTCCAGTTGTGGGGCCTGAACCCTGGGCCTGGGCGCTGTCCCTCAGCTCTTCAGCTCAAGGCTAGTGCCCTACCACTTGAGCCACAGCACCACTTTCGGCTTTTTTCTTTTTGCTTATGTGGTGCTGAGGAATCGAACTCAGGGCCTCTGGCATGCAAAGCAAGCGCTCTACCACTGAGCCAACTTCCCAGCCCCTTGTTGTTGTTTTTTTAAGTATATATTTTTTACTGTAAAGATACTATACAGAGGGATTACAGTTACATGAGTAAGGTAATGAGTACATTTCCTATGGAGCATTGTTACCTCCTCCTTTGTTTTTCCCCTACCATCCCTTCCCTCCCCAAGGATTGCAGTTTGAAGCCAGCCCAGGCAGACATGTCTATGAGACTCTTTATCTCCAATAAACTAGAGAGAAAAAGCCAGATGTGGCATTGTGGCTTAAGTAGTAGAGTGCTAGTCTTGAGTACAAAGAGGCTCAGAGACAGTGCCCGGGCCCGAGTTTAAGCCCCAGGACCTATAGAAAAAATTTTAAAAAGATATCCCAAATCACTAAGTAGGTATCCAAAGAGGTTTGGATACTTATTTACAATTTTTAGAAGAAATATTTAAATGTCAACCCAGAAGATTAGTAATGCCTTAATGAATATTTCAAAGCATAAATGAATCTTAAAAATGGATAAAACGTAGTTGTATACAGGATGTACTATATCTCCCCAAAATTCATATGCTAAATTCTTAAGCCCAAATACTTCAGAATGTGACTGTATTTGAAGATAGGGCTTTAAAAAAGATGATTAAGTTACGACGTAACCACTTTCCATTGTATGGTAGCCTTTGTACCAGTCTGACTAAAGTGAATACATACATAGATGCATTTATAATACCTACATACACACAAATACATACATAGACAGACCCACGCTACCTGTAAGAAGATGGCTTTTAGGATCATCAGTGGATCATCAGTCTCTTCTTCATTTGGGAGAGCTTCCAAGTTCACATCTGGCTTACGCTTTTCTTCCTGAGAAGTATTAAAAGAGATTCTTTGACAAATCCTTTAAACGGAATGAATTGAACAGGAAAGTCCATGCCACTGAGAAATAATGGTAAAAGCATCATTATCATTATGCATGCACTTTGGAATCAGGCGACCTAGATTTGAGTTCCAGGTTTCATTGTACAATTTTTTTGTTGTTGTTGTTGGTTGTGGGGCTTGAGCTCTGGGGCTGGCACTGACCCTGAGCACTTAAGCCACAGCGCCACATCCGGTTTTCTAGTGATTTATTAGAGATAAGATTCTCAGGAACTTTTCTGCCCAGGCTGGCTTTGAACCATGATCCTTAGATCTCAGACTCCAGAGTAGCCAAGATTACAGGCATAAACTACTGGTGCCTGGACAATTCTTTTTTTTTTTTTTATAGAGGTGATGTACAGAGGAGTTACAGTTATATAAGTCATGAGTATATTTCTTTGGGGCAATGTCACCCCTTCCCAGTATATAATTCTTGAAAAGTCACTCTAGCTCTCTGGCTATATCTGAATACTATAATTATGAGGTAAGCAAAGTAGATTCTAACCCATTTTGTAGCTGAGCACAGCTTTCAAGGTGTCCTTTACAATTTGGTATAATGGGTTTTTAGTTCAAAATATTTTCTGGTCTTCATCCAAAAGTCTTTACCTATGTTTGCAGACTCAAGCTTAAATATTTTCTACCATTTCTGATCATTCAAAAAGTTTATATCCCATCCCATATTGAACTGGGTAACAAAGAGAAATTGTCTTTTTTCCTTCTTAATTACACATTGCAAAAGTATTTTAAACTGGCTTAAGGCCATGAGTACAAATAGACCTAAATAATACAAGACAAAAATACATAATCAAGAAAAAAACAGGGCTGGGGACATGGCTCAAGTGGTAGAATGCCTACCTAAGAAGTTCAAGGCCCTGAGTTCAATCTAAGTACTGAAGATAGAGAAAGAGAGAGAATAGAACAGACTACATCCAATCATCCTGCTACAAAATTATAAAAAAATGCTAAAGTAAAAAACAAAACAAAAGAATTAAGAATATACTATTTAAACATGCTGAACTAGCAAGAACATAGAAACATCCTCAGAAGACAGGAAATGAAGTGGCAATCTAGGGATAAAATCTAGAACTGATACTTCTAGCTCCCCAAGTGCTATGATCTGACCATTGTATTTACCCAACTACATATGTTGAAACCTAATCCTTACTGCAATATATTAGGATAGAGGCCTCTGGGCCTTTATAAATGGGGACCGCAGGAGCTTGACTGCCACTTGTGCAAGAAGGTGCTATCTAGGAAGCAATGTGAGCCCTACAAACACAAAGTCTGTTGGCTTCTTGCACTTGGGTTTCCTAAAGGAGTGGGTCCCAGAGTTGTAAGTAATATGTTTCTGTTGTCTGAAAGATCACAGTGCAAGGGGCTTTGGCTCAGCATCTGAGTGGGCGAGGATACTATCCTGTTGACAGACAACTAAGCTTCTACTGGAAGCCTGAGGCCTTCTTTGAGGACTGAGGCCCACGGTTTTTCAAACAACCTCCAATATTCCAATTCTCTGACACCAGGGGAGTGTCATCTATAATTCTGACAATCCCTGCTAATATCACAGACCTCACAGTTGAGGGCTCAGTCCCATGATGATTTGGGGTCTACAGGCTGATTGTTCTTCAGCCTGATCAAACTCTAATTTAAGGATTTCCACTTTTTTTTTTTTGGTGGTTCTGGGCCTTGAACACAGTGCCTTGTGCTTCCGAGGCAGGTACTCTATCACTGAGGCATGACCTAAGAACATGAGAAGGTGGAGTGAAGAGGCTTCTATTTCCAAGGAATACAGGGCCTACCTTCCCAGAGCATGGATGTGTTCACCAACCTGGAAACTCCACAAACTTGTTTCTCAAGAGTTTTCATTTAAGTTTTTAAAGTGAGCATGTGTATATACAGAGAGAGAAAGAGAGAGAGAAAGAGAATCTTCCTTCAATTTATTCATCTAGTTGTTTTTTGTGTCAGAGTATCATTATATAGTTTAGGCTGGTCTGGAACTTATGATCTTCCTGCTTTAGCCTTCAGTGCTGGGATTATAGGCATGTGCCATCACACTTGGCTCCTCATTAAAATTTTATTATGGAGCATGATCAATTGTATTATTGGCTATTTGTGACTGAACTCAAGTTCCTGTTCTTTACCCTTCCCCAAAGTTAAGAGGTGTTATACAATTTAACTCCTGAATCAAAAGGATGACTTCTCTGTCAGGCTTCATCTTGAAGCGTCTAAGAGGGTCCTCATTAGCACCACCTTCCTCATGAGGAATAACAAAAAACACTTCCATAAGGAAAATTCAAAGAACATTCTATAAACAAGAAAATATGGAAGTGGCACTGTGGCTCAAAGTGGTAGACACTAGACTTGAGCAAAGAAGCTCAGAGACAGCAACCAGGCCCTGAGTTGAAGCCTCATGATTGATTTAAAAAGGAAAGGAAAGGAAAGGAAAGGAAAAAGGAAAGGAAAGGGAAAGGAAAGGGAAAGGGAAAGGAAAGGAGAAAAGGAAAAGGAAAAGGAAAAAGACAAGACACCAAGCACACTTGGCAATCATTCTTCTATTCTTTCAGTCATAATGAAGACCTTACTTTAGCAACCAAGCATGGTGTTATACACCTGTAATCTAGCACTGGAGGATCTTGAGTTAGAGGTCAGCCTAAGCTACAAAGCAAGAACCTGTTTCCCTTTCCCTCCCCCACAAAGGCCTAAAAAATAAAAGACCGGATAAATAGTGAAGGGAGCAGAACCGTATCTAAGAATGCCTGCCTGTTCATGCCAGTCACTTAACAGAAGAAAGATCCTGGCATTTCTAGGAAAGACCTGATCAATTCTGAAGACATGACTACAAAACAGATGTTTAAGAAACCATAACCCCAAAGGAAGACAAGAAAAAGAGAATCATTACTTTTGAAATATGCTGCCTAACTACACCAAGTACCGCCACCTCTGTGTACCACCTCAACAATAAACTTAATAACAAACTTGCAAATCAATGTTTCATGTTTCAACAAAGAGGATACATACTGCCAGCTGGAAAAAATGTTTCAACTGACTCTGGATAAGCAAACTACAGTAGGCACAGAGGAAGGCAGGGCTAGGGAAAGACACTGTACTGTATCCGAAGGACTTTCTATGCTTACTTGAAATTGCCAGTTCCCCAGATGGTCAACATCCTTAATGTAGACATGGTAGTGCCCCCCATAGCAGCCGCCTTTGTGGATAATGACAGAGAAGAGGTCGTACATATATCCTGAGTCATCTAATTCACTCTAAAAGCAGAAAAAGATGTATCCATTACCTACATAAAATTGTGAGAAATATAACCAAAAGGAAAAAAGAATTTTAGCTACTGAAATTAGTCAACCTCACAGTTTATCATTGTTATTTGAGGGTTAAAAAAGAGGGGTTAATCTGATCAAAGTACAATATATGAATGTATAAAAATATCACAGCAAAACCCCTCTGTACAATTAAGGTACAATAATAAAAATAAAATAAAAGGAGTCATAAAACATAAAGGTAAATATCTAGCTTTAAACTTTAAAAACTTTTAATTCTTTGATTTACTGCTAATCATACTATATTAATCAGTTTCTGCCTCTTAGTTATGTGAACCCATGTATTTTAAAAAGCTGTTATTTTTAGATTAGATCATGTAAGCTGATATACACAAGGTAAGTCAGTGATAGGCTTTTAGCAAAAGAAAACTGTTTTTGTGGTGACTCTCTTATGTGTTTAATATCACAATTGCTGTATATTCTGACCAGGTTGTAATATGCCTTAGAGTGAAAGCCAGAGTGCTCCTGACACTTCAGACTCCTCAGAGAGAAGGAACTCAACAATGGTGAATACCAGGCTGGTCTTGTTCGGAGGTGGTTCCGTGAAAGGAAGAGGTTCTTTCTTGCTTTACTATTAATTCTATGATCAAAGTTTTCTGTAGTAGGCTCTACAACCACAGTGACTGAACAGAAAAACTACTGTACTAACAAGTAAATCAAAATCTTTTCAAAAAGTCACATTCAATGAGGACATGTTTCAAGAGATACTTTAAATTTCTGATGTAGTAGTTTTAAAGTGGGTAGTATTTAAATTATCTGGTTCAGGCAAACATGAGAGATACACGTAAAAACTCATGATTTCAGAATTTGTTTTCCAAATATTTTTCTCCCTGTGTCTTAAGGATTAAAACTTTATTTTTGTGCTTTTTTTTTTTTTTTTTGGTCCTGAGGCTTGAACTCAGGCCTAGGCTCTGTCTCTGAGCCTCTCTGTGCTCAAGGCTAGCGCTCTACCACTTAAGCCACAGCACCACTTCTGGCTTTTTCTGAGTAGTTTATTGGAGTTAAAGATTCTCTCTGGACTTCATGCCTGGGATGGCTTCGAATCGTGATCCTAAGATCTCAGACTCCTCAGCAATTAGGATTATAGATGTGGGCCACCACCGTCCAGCTTTTGTGCTGCTGTTTGTTTTGAAATACTGGGGATTAAGCCCAATGCCTTGCACATGCTACCAAGTTACATCACCAGCCATACAAACTCGAAACCCATAAAAGTCTATTTGCATGTTCAACTTCTAGAAATGTGATTTGTTATTGCATCCAAAATAAACTAAATTCAAATAGCAAAGTACCAATCAATACTAAGTTTTCTAAAAGCAAGGTCATGTCCAATTTTGTTGTAAAATGTTCACTTCAAAGATTTTTTTCAAGAACAGTTTAATGAAAAGAATGTAAGAACAAATCCATACTATACATATTCAAAAGGACACACTAAATCAGGGCTTCTTGGAAATCCCTCCCACCTCCCATCCTTCTAGGAGACATGGACTCTGGGCATGTATAAGATGATTTGTGTTCTATAGTTGGGGAGTGGTGTTGCTACTGTCATCCAATAGGCAAAAGCCAGGGAAGCCGATACCTGTCCTATAGAGCAAGGGATGCAAAACAGTACTTAACTGCAATAAATGGACTGAAAATTAAGTCAATAAAAAAATTCTTTGGAGAGGAAAAGAAAGAATTTAAAAATAAAATGGTTCAAACCTGTTCACAAAAAGGCTTGAGATTGATCCGCAGAGGGAAGGTATAACAACTAGTGTCCTTGTAGCGTTCACACTTCACAAAATCAAAATTGAATCTCAGTAATGAAATAGTAAGAAAGGGTGGCAGCTTGCGCAATTTGGCTGACTGTTGAAAGAAAAATGCCGTTTTAAAATGCAGAACTATAAGAAAGCAAATAGTATTACTTAAGTTATGTAAAAACAACCTGTGACACAGATATAAGAGAAATATGTCCTTATATCACATAGGCTCATAACTGTGGATTCAATATAACTCTTGATACAAGCTCATGCCTTATGGAACTAAGGATGGTATCAGTCATTTATGTTTAGAACTACAGTTTTACAAGCAAGTTCTAAGTTTTAGCGTAGCTATCCAGAAGAACTGTTTGATGAGCATGTCCTAATGGGATGTTCCTTGTCAGGACCTACTTCCTGCCCAGTCCCTGGCCTGTCTGTTGAGGTTTGTAATTAGCAAGGTGTTTGCAGGTATGAAATAGCATACCGGATTTGTTAGAATGAAGAACTTACATATCAAGATTATAAAATGGAAACTAATGCTTGGCAAGCTGTTTCCTGGCAAAAATAAACAGTCTCCTTCGTAACAGTCATTTACCAAAAGTAGGGACTTTACCCTAAAAGGTATACTGAAGAAACCAAGTGTTTCTCTTGTGGGGTACAAATAAAGTTTTCCTGGGAAATAAGTAAGTTGAGAGAGAGCTATAGGCTGAAAGTTTTATATTTCCCTTGTAAAAAATTTAGAGAGCCGGGTGCTGGTGGCTCACACCTGTAATCCTAGCTACTCAGCAGGCTGAGATCTGACAATCGAGGTTCAAAGCCAGCCCGGGTGTGAAAGTCCAAGAGACTCTTTATCCCCAATTAACCACCAGAAAACTGGAAGTGATGCTGTGGCTCAAATGGTAGAGCACTAGCCTTGAGCTGAAGAGCTGAGGGACACCGCTCAGGCCCAGAGTTCAAGCCTCATGACCGACAAAAAAAAAAAAAAAAATTAGAGATATAACAAAGTAAATATTTTCTCCATCTTCAGGGTCAAGAGCTTTAAGCAGGGGCTGGGTTGTTGCTTAGTGGCAAAGGACTTGCCTAGCAACACTAGGGTTTGATGATCTCCACTACCAAAAAAAAAGTTTCAAATACATTCATGCCTTCCTATCTCAAATCACGGAGACGAAGACAACACTTTACCTTGGCTGCCTTAACCAGTCGGTCACAAGTTCCACAGTGGTACAAGTTGTCATAGTCAAAGACTTCCTCCTCCACATACATGTTCCAGAGGGCATCTTCCAAACTAGACACGTTTTTGACTGCTACCGTTAGATCTAAGAAGTCTTCCTAGAATACACAAGAATGGAGTACTGAAAAAAACAATTTCACAGACATATCACCAACCTAAAAATTTATACTAAGATGTGGGTGTCTCCATCAGATGTAGTGGAATTCCTAACATTATTCTTTCTAAATCAAACTATGATCTAACTAAAAAAAATTTGGAAAACATTTATAAAGGAAGAGTTTTGTGAGTTTCAATGTAAAACAATAACATCTTCTTCTTCAGGAAACCAACTGAAATTTAAATACAACCTACAGTGCTTAGTAGCACTGTTTTAGTTTTAGAATTAGAAAAGGCAGAGACAATTTTCTAATGCACACTCTGTCTCTTCATTTTTATTCTGCTAATGTTGAGTTAAGATATACTGAGGAAGTTATAAGAAAAAAATGTTTTGAACCAGGATAAACAGATATTTCTAAGAAAATTAAGAGGATGATATTTTGCAAGAAGGAAATCTATCAATCAATTCTACATTTGAATTATCTCTCTAGAAATAAGCACTTATAATTTGGCAAGTTTAAATCATATTTATACTTTTGTGCATACATGTAATGAAATTAAGAAATTATAGGGATAAGAAAGTAACTAGGCACTAGTTTATAGTAAAATTGCTAAGTAACGTAACTAACACTTGAAATATTGTTGTGAAAAGTTCATGTTTACAACTTATAATGTGCTTTATGTACATTGTCATTTTTAGTTACTTTGTGAATTATTACATTAGAACCAAGTCAATCAGATACTAATTCAAACATACAGGACACCTTGGTTATTTTCAAACTAGCTGACAAAGATTAACTTCTATTAGTATAGGTAAGAAAGGCCAAGAATTTTTGTTTTGTTTTTTTAGAAGCAGAGTAAACTAGGCTGACCTCTAACTGGAGACTTCCTAGGACTCACCTCTCAAATGTTAGGTTAAACAATGGTAAACCCAGTGGTAGAATGGGTTATCTAGCATGTACAGGCCTGGCTTTGATCTCCAGTAACATAAAGTAAAGAATGACAATTCAAGCTGGGCACTCGTAGCTCAACCCTGTAATCCTAGCTACTCAGGAAGCTGAGATCTGAGAATGTGGTTCAAAGCCAGCCTGAGCAGTAGAGTTCCATGAGACTCATATCCAATTACCACAAGAAAACCAGAAGTGGCACTGTGGCTCAAGTGGAAAAGAGCTTGCTCTGAGCTAAAGAGCTCAGGGACAGCGCCCGGGCCCAGAGTTCAAGCCCCACAACTGACAAAAAAAAAAAAAAGTAGGAGCATTGTGAGTTGGAGGCTAGCCTGGGCTGCAGAATAAGATCTTGTCTCAAAAACAAAGAAGAGAATAAAAAAATATACATAGGTACATACATACTTACATATTTATATCATATATTTTTATACATTCAATTTATAAAGAGACAACTAATACATTAAAATGGCATTAAAATTTTCACTCATATAGTCAAATACAGAAACTTCCTGTAACTCTTGTCATAACAAAATGAAATTTTTATTTAATGGCTTAGGATCTCAAACAGATGAGTAGATTTACAGGTTTCCAATTTCTATTTTCCATCATATAAAATGAACAATTTGTATTACAAGGAAGTGAAAGTTGTAAAAATTAAAGCAGCATTATTATAGCTTTAAATGTGACATATATAGTTCATATATTTAATAAACATAGCATACATACAATTTTCTGAAGGATAATAATAAACTAAATCTACTATTTAATTACAGATATTTATCAATTTAAACACCTCTCAGATTTGTTTTTTATTCCTCCTCAATTAGCATTCCTTATACCATTCCAATCATGATGATATTGACTCCTTTCATGAGATCATAGTTTTCTATTTGAAAACACTCTCCACATATAATTTTCCAAATATCACAGTCCTGAATAAATATTATCTTAAGGTATTTGTTTCTTTCATTTTATGTGAAGAAATTAGGAGTAAAGTGATGATTCGGGCATATTTAGAGTAAAACGGGGAAAAAAAAAAATCCTGAAAGTCTAGCAATAAACATTTTTTTTTTTTTTTTGTCAGTCGTAGGGCTTGAACTCAGGGCCTGGGCGCTGTCCCTCAGTTCTTCAGCTCAAGGCTAGCGCTCTACCACTTGAGTCACAGCGCCACTTCTGGCTTTTTCTGTTTATATGGTGCTAAGGAATCAAACCCAGGGCCTCATGCATGTGAGGCAAGCACTCTACCACTGAGCCACCTTCCCAGCACCAGAAATAAACATTTTAATCTTCATGGTCTGTAATCAGACCACAGATTATCATGACTTATAGTTGACTATATAGTTTATTGTTAAAATAGTCCTGCACATTCACCTGCTTCTCACTGATGTTTTCACATTCTTTACACACAATCTGGTTAACCACCGTTCCATGGTACAGACGATTGATGAGGTCATGGCCAGACGTCCCAACCAAGGAGGTTTCTAAAGCACTGAAGAGAATTCGATTCAGTTCCTGCACATCATGTTGCCTCATTTCCTGAAAAACAGGTATGTTTTAAATGTGATTTTATGCTGCAAACTTTAAAAAATAAAACTCAAAAAATAGTTCAAACAAAACTCTAAGAGGAATCAAGAAATCCATGCTAAAGCTTAATTCACTACAAGGATGTGTTTTTTGTTTTTTTGCTTTTTTTTGGCAGTCATGGGGCCTGAACTCTAGGCCTAAGCACTGTCTCTCAGCATTTCAGCTCAAGGCTAGCCCTCTACCACTTGAGCCACAGCACCACTTCCGGCTTTTTCTGCTTATATGGTGCTGAGGAATCGAACCCAGGGCCTCATGCATATAAGGCAAGCGCTCTACCACGGAGCCACCTTCCCAGCCCCTACAAGGATGTTTAAGTGACATGAGCTGATAGTAGGTTACAATATCACCATCTATTTTGATTTCACTACAGAATGAAAAGGCAGTGTTCAGTGTGTACATATAACTGAACTCACCCCATAGCTGAAAGGTGAAAGCACACTGGGCCATGCCACTTCTGGTTCTCTTGTGGTAATTGGAGGTAAGAGTCTCATGGACTTTCCTGCTCAGGCTGGCTTTGAATCACAATTCTCAGGAGAAAGCACACTGGGCCACGCCACAGTCAAAGAGCAGGGAATAGTACAACTGGTTCCCGTCAGCAAACAAGAACCAGCAGTATGTGCACAAGTAAAGTTCATTTAGATCACAGTGGATGGTGATCTTTACCAACTGTCACTATTGAAGAACTAGAACTTATTAATTTGAAGTGAAAACCAGCAAAAACAAGATTAATATTTACTGCTACTCAGAAAAAATCCAAATGGATCTTGCTTGATGGTTCAATCCATTGTGAATCATGTAACTGTATATGAACTAGTTCTTTAAAAACACTTTATATAGTCTGGCACTGGTGGCTCAAAACTATAATCCTAGCTACTCAGGAGACTGAGATCTGAGGATGACAGTTTAAAACGAGCCTGGGCAGGGAAGGTCCATGAAACTCTCATCTCCAATTAATTACCAAAAAGCTGGAAATGTTGTTGTGACTCAAAATGATAGAGCAGTAGCCTTGAGCACAAAAGCTTAAGAACCTGAATTTTAGCCATAGTACCGGCATGCACACGCGCATGCATGCACACACACACATTTTATAAACCAAAGCCACAGTGTGCACCACCACTGAGAACTGTAGAAAAGGAGAAGGAGCAGTAGAAGAGGACTTTCAGGAGATGTGAGGAACAGGAAATGCTGGAGCTTTGCCAAGGATGAGGTGTGCCACTGACCCAGCCTACCTCAGGACACAGAAGTGTCTTTTGGTCTTGGCATATAGATGCCATGAGAGACTTTACCAAAACATAGCCAGGAGTCAAAGGAATGGGGAGTGATACAGAAGGAGAGGCGTGAGGGAGGACACATTGAAGTAAGTTTCATGTGGTGAGAGGCAGAGAAGGGGGCTGAAAACTGAGCAAGGTGTGGGACTTGGGATCTTTTTTTTGCCTTTTAAAATATGAGACACCAGAGAATGTAAATTCAGGTGACAGTACTGGCCCTGAGGGGACAGAACACCTGTGGCAGTTGACCAGCTGTTTCTGAACACACCATCATTTGGCAATGGTGCCACTACAGGTGTAGTCACGGAAAGCTTCCTACAAAATTTTATTTAGAAAACGCAAAAATAGGGAAGAAGTTTGTGTGATCTTAAGAAATAGGAAACTGCATGAAAAGAGAACAACAAAGTTTGCTGAGACTGGTCAGGGAAGAGAGTGGGAGAGAAGGGAAAATGACAGAGAATGACAGATCAGATTTATTTAGTGATGATAATGCAGTCAGACAATAAGCATGTTTCCTTGTTGCTGACAACTGTGTGGCGTTTGTATGTGGTAGACTGCCCTTTCGGAACTTTTAATAGATAAATGAGAGGAAAACTACCTCCACTCCCCCAATTTAGAAGAAAAGGAAGAGTCAGAGATAAATCAGGACAGAGAACATGAAAACACTGGACAAGGATGGTAGACTAAAAATTTAGCTGATGATTAGCTGGGCACCGGTGGCTCAGGCCTGTAATACTGAGAAGGCTGAGATCTGAGGATCACGGTTCAAAGCCAGCCTGGAGAGAAAAGTCCATGAGACTCTTATCTCCAATAAACTACTAGGAAACCGGAAGTGGTGCTGTGGCTCAAGCGGTAGAGTGCTCACCTTGAGCTGAAGAGCGCAGGGACAGCACCTAGTCCCAGAGTTCAAGCCCCACAACCGACAAAAAAAAAAAAAAATTTAGCTGATGAGCAGATTGTCCCATACATGGCAAATAATTTCCATGTGCTATTTCTAAGTGTCTTTTTTTTTTTAAATCTTAACTAGACCTGATGAAGATTATTTTGGAAGAGATTGCAAAGAAAAATCAGTTCCTGTACCCCAAGTCACAACCAGACATAAACCCCTGCTTACAGTACCTATGAAACAAAAATACTTCTGGCTTGTAGTTATGTAATGTAAAACAACATTCAACCAACATACTGTGATCATAAGGCAGATTAAAGGCAGTTGAATAACATGCTGAAACAGTGTGGCCTTTTCCCTCCACCACCTGGAACTTCCTCCCAGGCTTTCATACCTCATTGCTGGTCCACCCAAAGCTGTCAGTGAGGTCTGTTGTGGATGCAGCTTCCTGGTCTAAGAGCAGAAGCTGAGCAAACAAGCGCTGCAACTGTAAAGGTATGATTCGAACCTAGGGGACAAGCAGATGTGTTCTACATGAGCCTTTTAACACACTGAGTAAAGCTTCATAAAAGAAGACTAGTTTTCCCCTATCTCTTGTTCATTCAACAGAGAGTTTATAAGTCTCTTATTACAAATAACTAAGATTCAGCCCTTTGGAATTCTAATGTAGTCCAAAAAGTTTTAGATACCTTAAGAGTTTTTAATCTTTACATGTGTAGTTTCAAGTCAATATTAAAACTCAAGAGGGCTGGGAAGGTGGCTCAGTGGTAGAGTGCTTGCCTTGCATGCATGAGTCCCTGAGTTCAATTCCTCAGCACCACCACATAAGCAGAAAAAGCCAGAAGTGGTGCTGGAGCTCAACTGGTAGATCGCTAGCCTTGAGCTGAAGAGCTGAGGGACAGTGCCCAGGCCCAGAGTTCAGGCCCCATGACCAACAAAAACAACAAAAAACCTCAAAAGAAACCCAAATAAACCACAAGTCATCATAGAGAGCAAGTTAGAATCTCTCATAGTTCACTTTTTCTCTATTGCTAATAGATTGCTACAGACAATATAGGAATTTTCCAGGCACACAGATCTCTCTCTGGAGTCCTGGTGTTTCTTGGGGCTAGTGGTACCCTGTCTCCCAACTTCTGGGTTTGGGACTGCTCTTGCCTTATATGAAGCAAGGCTTTTCAGAATCCAGCCTGCAAGTCAGACTTGGAGGGTTGAAGAGAGGATAAACATTTAGAAATTTCTGTGGAAATTTTACTATATTGATCTGTAACAGTTGAGGGGGAAAATGCCACAAAAACTGGCCACACAATTGGTGTGAGAAGCACTGCAGTAAAGGATTACTGGATGTGGTGATTTATGCCTGTAATTCTAGCTACTCAGGAGGCAGAGATTTGAGGACTGAGATTCAAAGCCAGCCCTGGCAGACAAATCTAAGAAATTCTTAAAACAACTTAGCCATCAAAAGGCCAGAAGCAAAGGTGTAGCTCAAGTGGTGGTGTGGCTCAAGTGGTTATCAACCTTGTGCAAAAAAAACCCAAGAGAGCGCATGTGCATGCATGTGCATGCGCGCACACACACACACAAACACACACGCACGTGTGTGTATACACACACACACACTTACAGATTTAAGCATCAAAGTGAGGACTAGGGGTTAGTCAGGGAATACATAACTTACAGCTTTGCCTTAAATACAATTTCTCTACAGTATGTACAAAATGATAAACTCAATTCTCTATTCGGGATTTCCATAAGACCAAATTGAAAAATAATGATTTCCATATTTCTTTTTCCATATTGTTGAAAATAAGTGTATTAAATAGATGTTTTGGTAGGCTAATATGGATGATTTATAAACATAGCACAATAAGGTAAGTTTGTCAAAGTACTACCAGCATTATGTTGGAAAATTCTGTTTTTCAGAAAGATAATTTTGTTGCTAAGAATATAAGGCAAGTCACTTTCTGAAAATAAAGAAATACTGATAATAAATAACATTATTGTTTCCTATGAATAAGTAGTTTAATTCCTCCTTTAAAAACCATTTTTTTTAATATTCCAAAAGCCTCTAGTAAATTATAGGTTTAATACCTTTGCATCAGGTTTATCCTTATCTTCTAAGGAACCAAGCTCTTCCGGACCAAGAGAAAATAAAGCTTCTAAACAAAAGTAGAACCAGAGATGTGAATGACATGATTTCATCTTAGAAACTATCTTTAGAAAGCCAGACCACAACTAAGTAATATCCTTAAAGATCCGAAAATAGGACTGTGTCCATTTTTACACCCTTAATCTACACTTGCTTCTAAAAACATTTTTGTGCACTGAATCTAAGAAGATAAAGTGATTTTGCTAAGGTTTCAGAATCGGGGTGAGGGGGGTTCAGAAAATCTTCACCAATGATTAGTTCATACCCATAGAAGTATATACATCGTGGGCATGGTGGGGCACACTTGTAATCCCAATAGTTGTGAAGCAGATGTAGGAGGACTTTGAGGCCAGCTTAGATGACATATCAAGTTAGAAGCCAGCCTGAGCTCCCTAGCAAGACTCTGGCTCAAAAACCCAAGGCTCAGTGGTAGAGCCCTTGCTGGCACATGCAAGACCTTAGGTTCATCCATAGCACCACAAAACATACCCAAACCATCTATTAACAGTATCATCAAAAATAATTGATTTGCATTGCCTATGGCAGTGGGAAGACAAAGTCATGGGGAATCCCAGGAAACACAAGAGTGACATGCATTTTCAAACACAAGGCTGACAACCAACCTTTCACGGGAAGGGTCATCTTTTACTATGATGTTATGCTATTCCCTTTTGGGGAGTGGGGTGTACAAATGTCTTTTCTATGGATAATGGTTAAAAGTTGCCAACCTCGTGCCAGTCTCCATAATTAAAAAAGGTAATTTAACATATAGGTTCATCACCCAATGAGGTCATATTTGAGTCTTCTGGGAAGTCTGTATCCTGAATTCCTCTGGGGAAAATTTGATATGCCTCAGGAGGGTCAGGGATGCGAGGGTATGTCTTTTTGCAGTTCTAGTAATTGCTGTTATGGTATATTCCCAATGAAGATCTGAGACTGGGCAAAAATTAACTATAGGCCTACAGGTTAAAGCATAAAACCATTCCTAGAGGGACTTTACAAATCACCCTCACTATTCCTAGCTACATTGTTCTGGTAGTACAATGAACTCAATTTGCCTTACTTTAAAATATTATTAAAAAATACCTCCTCCAAATTTTCTCCTCCAGTGCTGTTACTCCTTACCTTTTCCAAATTATAGCTCCGCTTTCTATGTGACAGGATCCTGCTGAACTGTGCAAAATACACACATCTTGTACTACAAAGCTAAAACCATGTCACTGGCCTGCCAGAGAAAGCTGGCTTGCAGCTGTCAGCGCTTCTTGCCTACTGCTAGCCTCCAAGACACCCCAGTCTGTCACTTTTTCCCTCCATCTTTTCTTTTCTCTTCTTTTGTCTCTTTTCTCTTTCCCCCTTTACTCCCCTCCTCTCCTCTCCCTTTTTGAGACAGAGTCTCACTACGTAGCCTAGACTGACCTCCAACTTGTGATTTTCCTGCCACAGCCTTCTCAGTGTTTCTCAGTCTCTTCTTGAGATTACTTTTCTACTTCAAGCATATTAACCTCAACCACATTAAAACCTGAAAAAGTTTTATCCCTCTTGGCTAATGCTGAAAATGTCTTTTCTTTTTATACTTTTAACTAGCATCAATTAGTTGTACAAGGAGATTTTATTTTGACATGTCCACATAGGCATACGATGTACATTGATTAGACCCTTACCTCCTCTATCACTCTCTTATTTTCCTTTCCTAATTTCAACAAGCTTCATTTACCACCACTCCCCTTTTTTTTGGTGCTGGTCGTGGGCTTGAACTCAGGGCCTGGGTGCTATCCCTAAGCTTCCTTTGCTCAAGGCTAGCACCCAACACTTGAGCCACAGTGCCATTTCTAGCCTTTTCTGAGTAGTTTGTTGGAGATAAGGCTTACAGATTTTGCTGCCTGGGCTGGCTTTGAATAATGATCTTCAGATCTCAGCCTCCTGAGTAGCTAGGATTATAGGTGTAAGCCACCAGGGGCTGGCTCATTTTCCACATGTACATAAAGTATTTTGACCAAATTCACCTTTCTTAACTTTCTCTACTCTTTCTTACTTGCACCTGTACCCCCATCACAAACAGGACATGTTTCATATTCTCGCCTTTCGTTTTTCCTGCCCTTCATTTGGAGTTTTACTATGGTATTTCCTTCATTGATGCTGAAAAGTTTCTAAGAGTGGAATTATTCACTGTATCACGAGGAAAATTTTATGGAGTAGATAGAATCAGAGACAATAATAAATATTTACTAAATCTCCAGAAAAGGAAAGTGGCTGTTTTTTTTAATCTTAGAACCAAGAGATCTAATATATCATAAAGATCTAATAAACTGGGAGTTGGTGAGAAGAGATTCCTCTTCTATAGCACTCAGCTATAGGATGAATCAGGCTGTCCTAGGAACATGGACACTTTGAGGAGAGTCTACAAAGTCACATAACACTGGGCTGCCTAATCATTGCAAGACCAAGATATCCAGACTGCAATAAAAGAAACACAGAGCTAAGTGTTGGCGGCTCACACCTGAAATCCTAGGAGGCTGAGATCTGAGGACCATGGTTCAAAGCCAGCCCCAAAAGGAAAGTCTGTGAGACTCTTATTTCCAATAAAATTAACAAAAACATAAAACTGGAAGTAGAGCTGTGGCTCAAGTGGTACAGTGCTAGCCTTCAGCACAAAAGCTCAGGAACAGTGCCCAGGTCCTGAGTTCAAAGAAAGAAAGGAAAGAAAGAAAGAGAGAAAGAAAGGAAAGAAATAAAAGGAAGAAATGAAAGGAAGAAAGAAATGGAAGGAAGGAAGGAAGGAAAAGAGAGGGAGGAAAAGGAAGGAAGGAAGGAAAGAGAAAAAGAAAGGAAGAATGGAAAGAAGGAAAGATGGGAATGGGACAAGTATGTATAAATAGACGCAAGAGGGCTGGGAAGGTGGCTCAGTGGTAGAGCGTTTGCCTTGCATACCTGAGGCCCTGGGTTCGATTCCTCAGCACCATATAAGCATAAAGAAAAAAGCCAGAAGTGGCGCTGTGGCTCAAGTGGTAGAGCGCTAGCCTTGAGCTGAAGAGCTGAGGGACAGC